TGCAGGGCCTGGTCTCTGCCCTCCTTCGCTCCCTTCCGCCGCCTACGCTCTTGAGGGGCCACCCCGCTGCTCGGCAGACCAGAATGTCTTCCCAAGCACGGCTCCGAGCGTGAGAGAGACATCTGGAGCCAGGAGGGAAATCGGGCCGCCTGGAAAGACGGCTGCCAAAGGCCTCTTCGCCCAGCTCTTTCCTCCTCCAGAGCATGGCAGCATCTCACGAAAACAACAGCCCTGCCAGAGATGGGAAATTTCATCACCGCCTCGTGATAGTCTTCTGCTTAGATTGCAACCCTGGATTCGGGGATCAGGGGAGCAAACTAGGGATTCTAGCTACTGCACTGGAGGGGAGAAACTTCTGGAACTACAGAAACTCTGGAAAGTCGTAACTTCAATCCAGGAAGTATAAAAGTATATGAGAGTATGGGGGAAATATAAGAGTACGCGGGGAGTATGAAGACACAGCAATACAGTCGATAATATTGCAAATAAAAAGATTTGCACCAAAGGTGTTTGTCTGCTGCTAGGAAAGCAACCAAGAGTCCCATTAAAAGGTAAAGGTTTCCCCTTCCTCGCAAGCCAGTCGAAGCCGACTCTAGGGATGCGGTGCTCATCTCCATTTCCAAGCCAAAGAGCCAGCGCTGTCCGAAGACGTTTCCGTGGTCATGTGGCCGGCGTGACTAGACGCCGAGGTGCATGGAACGCTGTTACCTTCCCACTGAAGTGGTAGCCAGTTTGGTGTAGTGGTTAAGTGCGTGGACTCTACTCTGGGAGAACCGGGTTTGATTCCCCCACTCCTCCACTTGCACCTGGCTGGATGACCTTGGGCAAGCTGTAGCTCTGATAATGATTTGGTCTTCATGGTGCCACTGGACTGTCTTGGACCAAGGAGCTGGGGGGGGGGGCTCTGCAGCTTACCTGGCTGCTTCTTGCTCTGACTGAGGGCTGCTGGGAGCAGGGGTTGGGGCTTGTTGTATGTGCCCGCCCCCTGGGCTACTTACTGCCGGAGTTCTGCTCCTGTGTGCTCCTGCAGGAAATGACCCCTGGCCCTGCTGCTGTACCTGCCAAGAGTGCCTCTGTGTGCTTCCTCGTCAGTGCTGGAAACTGGGAGTCCACCTGGTGGAGCGCATGCAAACGAGTGGGCAGGAAACAGTACAAGGACAGGAGGCAAGGGAGCTGCACGGGGAGGGGGGGTCAGTGACAGTGGGCCCCCCCCAGAAGCTCTGGGTCCTGGCAGTTGGCCCACCTCCTGCCACCAGCCGCGCCAGCACATCATTTCTGCTATGCAGGTTTAAATAAGGACAGGCAGTGGGCCACACGCAGCAGCAGCATTCTGTTGGAGTCAACAGCTCACTTGCCACTAAGGAAGAAGATTGGATTTATACCCGGGAAATTACAGGCCAGTCAGTCTGATGTCGATACCGGGTAAATTGGTGGAAACCATTATTAAGGAAAGAATTAGCAGGCAAAACCTATTGAGGCAGACTCAGCACGGTTTCTGTAAGGGAAGATCTTGTCTCACTAACCTGTTAGTGTTCTTTGAGGGGGTGAACAAACATGTGGACAAGGGAGACCTAATAGATATTGTTTACCTTGACTTCCAGAAAGCTTTTGATAAAGTTCCTCATCAAAGGCTCCTAAGTAAGCTCAAAAATCATGGGATAAAAGGACAAGTCCTTTTATGGATCAAAAACTAGCTAATTAATAGAAAACAGAGAGTGAGTATAAATGGGCAATTTTCTCAGTGGAGGGTGGTAAGCAGTGGGGTACCGCAGGGATCAGTACTTGGTCCACTGCTTTTTAACTTGTTCATTAATGATTTGGAGATGGGAGTAAGCAGTGAAGTGGCTAAATTTGCGGATGATACAAAGTTGTTCAGGGTGGTGAAAACCAGTGAGGATTGTGAGGCACTCCAAAGGGATCTGTCAAGGATGGGCAAGTGGGCGTCAACATGGCAAATGGGGTTCAATGTGGCCAAGTGCAAGGTGATGCACATTGGAGCCAAAAATCCTAAATATAAATACACATTGA